CCTGATTATTCTGGATATCACAAAAACCTTATCTAATAATTGTTTAATGATACACTGAAGGAAAAAAAATGGAAGTCATGGTTTTGCTTCTTCACTGACGGCAAGCAACACAAAGCGAGCGAACTTGACATGATTACCCTTAGAAATCATGTACTGCCGTCATACAGAACATGATTACCCGTGACCTAAATCTGCATGGCGTCACAGGCGCTGATTTCGAAAACTCACTGTACGCTCTCGGCCAATCAAAAAAGAGATAGTGAGTTCAATGTATAATAATTGCTAATATCCATAGTCCAGAAGCAAACAGTGCTGTAGCGAGAGTCCCCAAAGGCGTGGAATACGAACGAAGGCCAACGCAAAGGAATTAAAGGGACCATGAAAATAGCTACACTCGCTACGTTGAGGAGAAATGCACTGGAATGCTATAATCAATAACAAAAGCCTTCTCTGATGCTTTCCCGATGGACGGCTGTAATTCAGGCTATCGAATTACGTTGATCCTTTCTTGGTTTAGATCCAAAAACGAACCGCATCCCTGAAACTGTAATGGGAAAAACTCCACCACAGATTTTTTTGACCCGAGGTTGGTTACTGGTTACTAAGTCCCTGTCCACGCTACGCTGGTGAAATTTGAAAACGACGTTTTCACTCTGAAAACGCATCAGATGTATTCCGTCCACAATACGCCGATGAAATTTGAAAACGCAGCAATCACCGACCATTTTGGATTTCTGTCTGAGGAAAACGCAGACAGGGAAAACACGTGATTATCGTGATGCGATCGTTTTCAAAAGGTTCCATTTTCCAAACGTTTTCCGTCGACGCTACAACTTCAAACCGGCGTTTTCAAATTCCCCCCCGTTTTCGTGACGGATTAGTGTGGACGGTAGGCCTAACCATAGAAATAAAGTTGCTTTTTAAAATTTCTCCGGCGTAGTGTGAACAGGGCCTGATAAAGGCCTATTTATTGAGTGAATTATAAAGTCTTTATAATGAGAATAATAAAAAAAACACTCTTGCCTGAATTTCAACTACTCCCAATGGATCGCTGTAATCAAGAGACGATGATTTCATCATCTCTTGCTGTAATTCTACCATAACTTGTTGTAAAAGGGGCCGGGTTGTTCGGAAGCCGGTTTTAACGCTTACCCAGGGTTAAAAGTTAACAGAAGTATAAATATTTCTTGTATACAAAATGTTTTTCACTGTTTTTTGTTTTGTGTATTTTGAGATCATTTAAACTCAAAACAGAAGGCTAAACAATATACAGAAAACCTCACTGCAAAGTTACAAAACTCAAATCAAAATTCTCGCTTAACCTGGGTTATCTTAATCGGCCTTTGAACAAACCGGCCCAGGAGCTCCGCTTTTAGGCTTGGCTAAATCTAGATATTATGGTCTAAAACATTTATCAACCTTTAACATATTTAAAAGCTATAGAGATATTGTATGAGTTTGATGAACGTTTTCACACGAAAGTGCGGAAGTCCAATTTGTCATGTTTACTGACTGTACAAAACACGCATCGGCGGGCGCTCTTATCCATCGACAACAGAAAATTTATTGGATTTTTACACAAACAAAGCTGAGCAGTATCTACAGACGTAAACGTATTGATGAAACATCAACGTCTTGATGAAACATCAAGCGTTGCTTACTATTCAGACGAAACTCAAACTTGCAACTTTGTTTTACTTTTTGGTCGCGATTGACTCTGGCGAAATCCCAGCAAGCATCTGCTAAGAGGAGGGAAACTTTGAAGTTATAAAACACCGCTATATCCAAATATATCCAACTAGTTTCTCGATTTGTTATGGAAAAGTTGTTAATCTTCATCATATGTAAAATTTAGAGTGGAGTAATGTGGAGTTCTTGTAAAAAAAAGTAACGGCCTCGGCCTCGTCCGATTTGGCAGTCCTCGGAATTTTTCCCGTCCAATTATTTCCAAATTGGACAGCACGTAGTCCTATTACATACACAAATCACTGCCAAAATGTGTTCCCTATTTAACACGGCGATCTTTTAAACATCCAATCGCTACCGAATTGGATTCACTTTTTACCACAGGGATGTTCTACCAATCACCACGTTCAGGGTGACAAGAAAAAGACAAAAAACATACGCCAAATTCACTGAGAGCGCGACGGGAACGCACCGAGAAACGCACGCACAAGAAGAAACAAGCTTTTTTTCCGGGGAGAGGCGGCTGTGACACAGGCTAACGACAAGATAGAGGGCTGTAAACAGCTAGTACAGATAGGCAGAAGGGACTGAAACTGAACGCAAGGAAAACCACATAGAAACATACGGGGAAAGCCCAGAAGAATCCACCCCGGGGAAGGTCGGAAATACTCTTTGGAAAATTTGAGTTAAATTCCCAACGGAGGCCGATCTGGGTGTGTCTCGAGCTTTATTTGACCCCTTGATCGACAGCGGTTTTTTACTATGTTCTTCGAGTGCCACCCTAAAAGGCGGCAAAAATAGTGGCGTGCCGTCCTGAACATCCTGAGTGAGATCAAAATCCTTGGTTTATGTTCTTAAACGAGACAACAAGCATCCCCGACCTTTTCATACGGGAACCCCCTTCCCCCCCGCTACCCCGGACCCATGTGTCCCCATGAGTTCACGGCCTTAGCCTGTCTTCCTTATGGATTTTTCCAAACCTCCCGTAACGCTTCATCTTGCATCCCTGTTCGTTATCTCCCGAGTTTCTTAGTGCGTTATCTCAAGGTACGTTATTATTTTAAAGTTTCTAGTAAATTTGGCGCCGTCTGTTCCGGTACTAACGGGCATCGCCAGCTGCGTAGGCTAAAACAAGGAAGGCAATGCACAAAATTTATTTTTGTGGTGGTTCATCTTCGAAGTGCGTGGTAAGATACGTTTGCGTTCGCAGGCTACGCCGCCTAGCGTACTGGAACGCACGTCATCCCTAGGCGGCGTAGCCTGCAAACGCAGACGTATTTCCGGCGGAACCAAGTTACAGCCGAAAATACGCGTCTGCGTTCGCAGTCTAAAGCGGGAAACTTGGTGTACAAGTACAGAAAGTGTACCCTGGCCTTCTTTTGAGTCCCTGAGATCTCCAAATCCTTTCAGTTTATTTAGACGCAATATTCAATTAAGATGTAAAATTTTTCTCTGCCCTGTTGAGCCTAATTACCATCATTGAATTGTTGGAAATGCTGGGACAAAACCTAAGGACAAAACCTAAATGTTTTCAGCTGATACTACTGCATGAGGTGTTTTCAAATTTGTATGATAACCTTTCTGAATGAGTAGCTTNCCTCTAAATATATGGTCACGATCGTTTTACAGTACTTTAGATATTTGAAAAAAAGTAAAACATTTGTATTTCTCCTCGAAGTTGTTAGAAGTAGAAATTTGTGTCAGGATTACACGAAAAACTAAAAAACAACCAACGGTATCATTCACAGACCCTTGAAATATACGAAAGGTGTAGCAGTGGATGACATAATGAGAGATTTTGAAAAATATTGAGTTTGAAATACATCAAAAGGAAAATGATATTAAATAATAGTTTTTATATGATATGAGGGTCATTTCATACATTGCTAAAGATGATTTCATTCATATATAGTGACTAAGCTAATTTACGATGACCAGTGCGGATGGTCTTTTGTGCTGCTTTTGTTGTTTATATAAAATCATTTTTGGTGAAGAACGAACACCTGAATAATTAAATACAAACTTCAGCGCTTAAATTAAACCGGTTTAAAAGTGGCTTTTTGAAACCTTTAAGTCTTTATATTGACGTAGAACCTTGCATGACTGAACAGTTGGCACAAAAGGAGGAAATCTGACGCCTGGAGAACAAAACATCGATCAAAAGCGATCACGTTCAGAACAGAGTAGTTGTGCATGAATTATTCACTGTACTGACGATGATACGGAACTAGTTAGACCAAAGGATGAGGAGTCCTGAACTACACTTGTAAGAGGCGAGCAGCTGCTGTTCGTAAACACAAACACCTTGATATTGCTGAGACATTAAATGAAGGAGAAATCCCAACATTTACTATCAAAGAAAATGCCGTAGCGTGTTTACCATGAAAAAGCTCTTGGAAACAGTTTCAAAGCAGCAAGCTGAACTGACAACCAACAACCAACGGCAGCTAAGAGGACCTCGATCCAACATTCCCCTACCACCAGCACAACTTACGAGTATGTCTGCGTATTCTATGAAAAGAAATATCTTAAGGAACAAGAAATCGGGAACCCTTGGAACAAGGCAGAGATTTGCGTCTAGATCACTCAATTAGAAATTCAGCCATGGAAAAGAAGGACCGCAGGATTCTCGCAATTGTGTCGCGTGAAATCGTGACAGCTGAAGCTTGTTACCACAGGATATGCTACAAGGGCTATACTAGGACTGAGGCAAGTCCCACTGGGGCTTCCGATGGCTGTGGTGAATCGCTGAGAAGATGAGTATGCTAATCTCAAGTCAGAAGCTTACCAGATGCTTACATCAGATGCTTACATCAGATGATTACGTCAGACCGAATGTTCTTGCAAACGAGAAAATAGTCAGATTGACTGAAATGACAGAACTACTTATATCTTGCGTATCTCACGTCTTTGGTTGTTGAAGAAATCAAGTTATCCACAAAGAAGCACACCAGACAGAATCTCCAGGCAGAATTTGGCGATGTCCTKTTCTTTGAAGATTTGTTAGAAACCACCAGTGTCTTCATAGTTCTCGCCAATTTGACTCACTTCATGTAGTCAAATACATAACAACCCTTCTTCTGGAAAAACAGGGCAATGCAAGCCAGTCTTCTCGGAGCACAAATATACACCGGGCTGCTATTGACATTCGCGAAGCTATTCAAAGAACAGGAAACAAGATGTCATAGTCTCCACGCCCTTGAGATCTCGCTAAGATCGCAATGAATGTTCCCAAAGAGCAGGGTTCGTTCTTGCAAACATATCTGACTGAATAAAAATAGTGCCGGGTCAGATAAAAACTGTCATCCAAGAGT